TTGGCAAAATCAGCCTCTACACAGCCCCATCTTTTTTTTTTGGGCCCTGTTTGAGCATTATAGATCATACCTAGCACATCCACTCTGTTTCTGTCATCCTTGATAGGTCCAATTATGTTAGTGGGGCCCAAGCTCTCTCCAGCTTCATCAAAGGAAAACGTCTTTGGCGGATCATTTCTAGTGCTCTTCCCAAACCCACACAGAAGAAGGATGAGACTGACTCTGCCTTCGATGACCGTCTTGACAAATGGGAAAGTAAGAATTATCAAATAATCACCTGGTTCCGAGCTACCTCAGTTCCCTCCATTCATCTCCAGTTTGGCTGGTTCCAAGATGATACTCACATTACTTCCCCTGCCAAAGCAATTTGGGATTTCTTGAGGGACCGTTATCAGACCATTGGCCATGCTCATCAATATTAACTGTTGCAGACTCTTCATCACATGCGCCAGGCACCTGGTCAGTCTATCAATGACTTCTTATTATCCCAGATGTCGTCTGTTTAGGACCAGCTAACTCTTTCTAAGCCTCCATGGACATATTCTGAGGATGCACAGTTGCTTATTACTTATCAAAATCATCAGCGACTATTACAGTTCCTTATCGCTCTTCATAGCACTTTTAAGCCTATACGTGCTTCATTGCTTCATCGTTTGCCCTTGCCCATTTTACAGCAAGCCATTACTGAACTATTATCATAGAAGACTCATTTTGGGACTCTCAAAACTCAGAATATGAATTCTGTTCTTACTACGCCATCATCACAGAGTTCCTCATCTTCACAGCCCGTTAGTTCCTGCCAGTATTGTCTCAACCATGGCCTACCAGCCACTCATTCTTTTGTTCAGTGCCAAGTTCGTGAATGCTTTACTTGCCATAAGATTGCTTCCAGTCATCTTCAACGCTATTGTCCTCAAGCCCCCTCCAAGAAAAGGTCTTCTTGTTCTGGGTATCAGTCCAAATCTCGCCAAGGTTTTTGCTTTGCTGTTGTTGCTTCTGAGGTTTCTTTTACTCACCACTTCACTGATTCCGCTACTCTTTCATTCTCTATGGATGATGTTGAGTCCCTCATCCAACAGGTGCTTTCCAAAATCGGTACTCCTCCTTCTACTGCTCTTTCCGTGACTTCAAGTAATTCTCCCTGGTATTTTGATTCCGCATGCTGTAATCATATGACTTCTAACTCCACTATGTTTTCTTCTATATCATCATCGTCTTCTGTCCCTATCATACACACTGCTGATAGTTCTCATATGACTGTCCGTCACACTGGCCACATTTCTACTTCTACTGTGTCTCTTTCTGATGCTTATCACATTCCTACTCTTCACTTGAACTTTATCTTTGTTGGTCAGTTATGTAAACTTGGTCTAACCATTACCTTTTTTGCTAATAGTTGTTTGGTGCAGGACCCTCAAACGAAACAGATCCTTGGGATAGGCCGTAAGCATGGACGTCTGCTCGAGCTTACCCATCTTCACATTCCTCACAAATCATCTACTGCTGCTCTCTCCACATCATCTACTGATGCTCCTATTGCTTCATTACTGCATCTACTTCTTCATTGTCTTCTTTACAACTTTGGCATTATCGCTTAGGACATGTCTCTTTTAGTCGTTTGAAAACTTTAGTTTTTAGTGGTCAGTTAGGTCATGTCCGTCTTGAAGATGTCGATTGTTTATCTTGTCAAATTGTTAAACAACATGTTTTATCTTTTAATAATAATACTTCTATGTCTACTGCTCCTTTTGATCTTGTGCATTTCGATATTTAGGGACCTTCCACCACATTGACCATGGGGGGGTCAATATATTTTGTGATTTTTGTTGATAATTTTTCTCGTTATACTTGGTTTTTTCTTCTCAAAAATCGATCTGAACTTAAACAGATTTATTATGATTTCTCTGCCGTGGTTCGCACTCAGTTTTCTCATACTATTAAAATATTTTGTTTTGATAATGCTAAAGAGTACTTAGATTCTGAATTTCTGTCTTTTCTTCAGGCTAGTGGTACCCTATCTCATCACTCTTGTGTCGGCACGTCCCAACAAAATGGACGAGCCGAAAGGAAGCACCGTCATATTCTAGACACTACCCGGGCTCTTCTCATCTCATCTTCTTGTCCTGAACACTTTTGGGAGGAAGCTGCCCTCACTGCCATCCACACCATAAATCGTGTACCTACACCTGTCATAACTAATATTTCCCCTTATGAGCGCTTGTATGGTTCTCCTCCTGACTACACCACTCTTAAAGTTTTTGATTCTGCTTGTTTTGTTCTACTTCAGACTCATGAACACACTAAACTAGAATCTTGCTTTCGTCTTTGCTGTTTTCTGGGGTATGGTATAGAACATAAAGGGTATCGTTGTTGGGATCCTATCTCCAAACGACTTTGTATTTCCCGTCATGTGGTGTTCTGGGAACACAAAATGTTCTCAAATCTTTCCAAGTTTCACTTACCACAGTCCACCGACTCACCAATCTTTACTAATCTCTCTATAGACCTGCTTTCTGATGACTTTGATGCAGATTCTAACTTCATGCTTTCACAACTGCCTACGCCTATTGTCCATCCTAAGGATCCTGTGTCTGCTGATGGCTCTACACCTTCTCCTGTTGAGGTTCCTCCTCCACCAGAGCGTCATTCTACACAGTTAAGACAACCTTCTGTTCTTCTCCGTGATTATATTGTTGGTTCCACTGTCTTTTCCTCTCATGAACCTACTTCCTATCAAGAAGCTTTTTCTAATCCTCTTTGGCAACAAGTTATAACTGATGAACTGCAAGCTTTCGATAAAACTCATACCTGGGATGTGATAAAACTCAAATGGGTTTACAAGCTCAAAACTCATTCCGACGGTTCCATTGAGCTTTACAAAGCTCGCCTTGTCACCCGAGGGTTTACTCAAGAGTATGGCATTGACTATGAAAAAACATTTGCTTCTGTTGCTCGTCTTACTTCCGTTCGCAGCTTACTTGCAATGGTTGTTGCTCGCTACTAGAGTCTTTATCAGATGGATATCAAGAATGCATTCCTCAATGGTGATCTCACTGAGGAAGTTTATATGCAACCTCCTCCTAGTTCCTCTACTCCATCAAACAAAGTTTGCAAACTTCGTCGTGCTTTGTATGGTTTGAAACAAGCTCCGTGTGCCTAGTTTGCCAAGTGCAGCTCTACCATTTGTGACTTTGGCTTTTCCTCCAGTGCCCATGTTTCTGCCTTGTTTATACGTAAGACGAAGCGTGGTACTATTCTCCTTCTCCTCTATGTGGATGATATAATTATCACTGGAGATGACCCCGCAAGTATTTCTAGTCTCCAATAGTTTCTCTGTCGCCAGTTTGACATGAAAGATTTGGTTTGCTTAGCTACTTCTTTGGCTTGGAAATTTCTTAAGATTCATCTGGTTGCTTTCTTACCCAAGCCAAGTATACTTCTGATCTCTTGGCTCATGCTGGCCTTACCGATTGCAAGACTGCCACTACTCTTGTTGATCCCCAGACTCGTCTTACACTTCTTGAAGGTTCCCTATTGTTTGATGCCACCAAAAATCGTCAGCTAATTAGCAGTCTTGTTTATCTCACAGTTACTCGTCCAGATATTGCGTATGCTGTTCACATTGTCAGTCAATTCATGGTTGCCCCCCGTTCTCCACACTATGATGCTCTGATTCTCATTTTGCGCTATCTTAAAGGCATTTTGTTTCATGGTCTTCACTACTCCGCACAGTCTTCTCTACAGCTTCATGCCTTTTCTGATGTAGATTGGGCGAGGGATCCTACTTACTGGGTTCTGCTTCTTCTTGGGCATCTCTCTTATTGCTTGGCGTAGTAAGAAGCAAACTCTTATTGCTCGTTCTAGTACTGAGGCTGAGTATCATGCTCCTGCTGACACTACTCAAGAGCTTGTGTGGCTTCGTTGGCTTCTTTCTGATTTGGGAGTTTCTCATTCTTCTGCCACCAATCTTTATTGTGACAACCAGAGTGATATTCAGATTGCACATAATGATGTCTTCCATGATCGCACCAAGCATATTGAAATAGATTGCCACTTCATATGCCAGCATGTTACTCGGGGCACTGTTCATCTTCTCTTTGTTACCTCTCCTGAGCAGACCGCCGACCTCTTCACCAGAGCTCATCTTCTAGGACGCTTCTCTAATCTTCTCGCCAAAGCTCAAGTTACTCTCTGCCTTACCACCTTAAGCTTGAGAAGGGGTGTTAATTGTTATCTATTCCTATTATTCTTAGAACTCTTGTATTCTGTACACTTAGGTTTCCTATACACCTAAGTTTCTTAGCCTATATATACATCATTCTCCTATTATAATTGATAGATTGAATATATACAATACACATTATTTTCTCTCTCTCTCTACTATTCTGATAACATGGCAAAAGGGGTTCTATTTTCATAATTCACGTTCTCTTACCTTATTGCAATTTTAATTGCACGATCATGCCTCACATTTCCACCACGTTGTACGATTATAGATAGGTGCATCGGGGATTGGAAATTTTGGAACGTCACATAACAAGAACGAAAAAAGAAAAAGAATAAATTGCAAATACATCTTTTAAAATTTATTTAAAATATAAATTATTTCTTATTATTTAAAAAATTACAAATCATAATTTTTTATTTAACGAAATTAACTAAAAAAATAAAATTCCTAACTACTTTCCTATACAATAATAACTTTACATAACTTGCTAATTAAAATAAATTTTTAAAATCAATAAAAATTAATAATTGACTTTATAATTTATTCATAAAAAGAGCTATATGTTATGAAATTAGAAATTTCAAAAGACATGGTGTAATTTTTAAAATCACAAGAAACAATTTGTATTTTAAAAAAATCTTAAAGGATGTATTTATAATTTATCCCAAAAAAAAAAAATGGAAAAAGTTCATCGACTCAGAAGGATGAGCCCGTGAATGGATTGTCCCATTTAACACAAATGGAGGATGGCCGATCAAAAAAAAACCACAAATGGAGGATGAACAAAATTCACTAGAGATGAGAGGTTTCTGAAAAAAAACCAAAAAAACACCTTCGAACTGGGGCCAAAAGAAACATTTAAAATACACGCCCTATCCCTGTGGTGTGCTTCTCAGTAGCCAAACTGTGTAAAACAAACTATGGCCAACTTTAAGGACGTACCATGACTTCAATATTGAACACTAACAATACAAAACTCCTCATTGTGTAGGAAAGAAAAATGTTAGTAATTGCCTCAAAAACTGAAGCTCGAAAGAGAGTGACCAGAGCTTCCAAGAATTAATCACCGCAAAGAAAGTGGATAGATCATAGATATAATAAAGTGTCTGTTCTTTTTTTGCTCATACACCCTCTGGCAGCTTCGTTTGATTTGCTCAGTATCAATTAGTTCGACAAGCAGAGACTTGTACTGAAAGAATGATGAGCGATTTAAGTGTAAACGGGAGCTAATTCGTTCGGAACTCAGTTGACTGCAAGCATGCAATTCAAGCACCAATCCCATTTGCGGATACTCTTCGTACATGAGAATCTTTCATGTAAAGCGGTATACTTGCACCCAGCTCTCTCAGCCGATTGACCATGTCATAAAGATATTCAAAAGTGAGTTTGGATTGCGCATTGAAGTCCTCTCTTATATGAGGATGAATCCGGAACCACTCTCCCAGCAGCTTGTACACATGAGAACGGATCATTCTCCAAGGTACGGGATATTCCTCACAAAGCATCAAATATTCTATCAATAAATCAGGTTGATCTAGTGTTCGATCTTCGTTGCTTTCTTCGCCGCCTAATACCCATTCAGCAGTTCGAAACCCGGCAAAGAGAGCTGGATTTCCAAGGAGAGACTCTGCCGAGAGTACCCCATCAGCACCTGTCTCTTTCAAACAGTTCTCGGCATCATCAATGTGTCTTATATTCCCATTGGCAAGGACGGGAATTCTGACGGCGCTTTTGACGGCCCTAATGGCACTCCAGTCGGCCCGGAATTTCTTCCCATCTTTTTCATCTCTTGTACGGCCATGAACGGCTAAGAGAGAGCAACCTGCATCCTCCAACATCCTGGCATAGTTTATGGTATCTTGTAAATCAGGGAAAATGCGAATTTTGCATGATACTGGGACATTAAGGTTGAAAACCAATTTTTCTACCAGGGACTTAATGAGAGGAAGATTATCCATTAGGAAAGCTCCATAGTTCCCCCGCCGAGCAATATGTTGAGGACACCTGCACATACATTAAACACATTAAGCTATTGACGTCACCAGTAGAATGCTCTTGAAAGGCAATTGATACAAGCCATTTTTAAAGCACCATGTAAATAAAAGAAAGAATGAGAACCCGATGCAAACCATAAGAAGGTCAAGAAAAAGCAATGCCTGTCACACCAAAACAAAAAAAAAAAAAAAAAAAAAAAAAAAAAAAACAAAATTAAAAAAAAAAAAAAAAAAAAAAAGAAGAAAAAGCAAAATTAAAAAAGCGGTTACGTTTAAAAATTGATTGGTTTCAAGCTGAATTCACTTGGGATCAAATGGATCAATGAATAATTAAGTTTTTAGGTTTGGGAAGGTCATATTCTATGGTTAGTTTGTTAGTTAGGCTAGGTATTAATCTATTTAGTTTTCGATATGATTTATTAACTTTATAACTTAGGGGAATTTTGGTAATTTGCAGAATTTCTAGGCATGGGCAATAGGCATTCACCCATTGGTCATCATATAAGCTAAGTATGTAATTCACTTTTCTTTTTCTTTTTCATTTTTTCATAAGTTTTATTTGGTCTTAGGGAGGTTTTAAAAGTCAGAAGTTTGATTTCCTATTTTAGGAGTCCTAGTCCTAGTTGGTAACTAATAAAGTTTTCAAACTCAATATAGACAATGTAATGCCTCTAATTCAAGGAAAAATAGGTCCATAGAGAATTTTTAGAACTTTTGAGATACAATTCTAACCGCAAGTCCTAGACTTTTTCTTCACTCTTCTTATTCATCCCCTTTCTTTTTTTCTTTTTCTTTTTTTCCCTCAGCCCTTTTAGCTTCTAAAACCACAAAATCAATCACATCTGCATTAGCCCATATCCAACCCTCAAGCATCATAATTCTTTAACCCTAGCACACTTAACTTGCAAAAGATCACTAAACCAACAAAGTACTGTTCACAGTGCCCAAAACAGTCCCTAAAATCTTGTGTTTGCCCCCTTTTACCATCTATCAATTTTGGGCTCATTACTTGGAGGAAAGTATTCACCGCACTTGTCCTAGATCAGTACCATAAACTGACAGTCCTGTACAGAATAAGGGATTATTGATATCCTCTGAATGGCAATAATGCTGAATGTAAACAACCGGAGTATTTATTATAACAGCACATCCTAAGTGTTAATCAGTAGCACACCAGTAGTAATGAGTTGAGCAATTCTACCATCTTTAATAATGGTCAAAATAGGTCAACAATGATTTTGTCGAAGCAAAAAGCATCCCTATTGACCTTCATATCAAGGTTTGCATAAACACGGAGATATTGATGACAATAATAGCTTGGGCCCAATTGGGCTGGGCTACGTGGGAGATAACATGGATTATCAGAAAAATAATAATAATACAATCTTGTGAAAAAAAGAAGAAAAAAAAAAAAGGGAGTAATTAGTAGCAGGCATGCAGTTTTGGGAAAGTAATAATAAAGTCTGATGTCATGGCCAAAAAAATCATAAAATAGATTAGTGCATAAAATTATATGCCTTGCCAAGTGCAGGGAGTATATGCCAGTCAGCAAATAAAGAAACATCAATCAATATAATATCATTCAATAACTGTTCCCTGGATTATTATCGAATAACTAATAAAATTGAAAAAATCAATAATATTCAACATTACACAGGCACTCACATTCACACATAGTCGGACATTGAGGTATGTGTACTGGAATATTTACCTATATGACAGCAACATATTAATTAATACGTGATCACATGTATCTCAATATTCTTTGTTTATTATTGCAAGGCCGCCAAAACTGTCAATGTGTCATAATTTCCCCTTCTTTAGAATGTAGTTCATACCCCATCCCCAAATTTGTATTTGACCTTGATCTTTCACAGGACCGAGTTTGTCACATTATACTTTCAAGTTTGAAGGGCAATAACACTCCAAAATATTTATAATTTGGTTCAAAAGTTCAACACCATTGTTAAGGTCTATATTATTTTCAATAGTTCTTTTCATCATGATCTAATAAAGTATTTCATAAGCTTCAACAATAGCATGCAAATACTTTTATTTATGTTTTTAATAGCAAAGTTAGTCAGAATCAAGTTTGGATACAGCGTTCGATGAAAAGCATCTTTTGCAGTCCATTTTGAACCTTTTTCATTAACGGGAACTACAAGTACCACAGAGTTTGGAACTGAGCAGTTAACAGCACTTGTATCAAATATTTAGTGTGAACTTCTAACAAGTGAGTAATATTTTGTGGGCTGGCTTAAGTTGCAACATTATTGAATATCAAGTACATATTACCATGCAAGTTTGAATCAGGTGTTAAGTGCAAAATACATTACCCCAAATTTATATCAACATAATCACAATAAGGTTCCACTCTTCGTGCGGCTTTCAACAAAGTATCTGGATCATTTGCACAGAATTGGACAAATAGTGGGCGATCCTCCTGCAGTTATCAAATTTAGATGAGGAAAAACTAACATTTAAGGACAATTTGTTAATGAAATTTACAAATATGGCCAAAGGAAACAACATATATATATTAAAAAAAAAAAATTTTTAAAAAAAAGTGATACTTTATTTCTTTCTGAGGAGATCAAATTGTGCATTTATGTTATCATACTGAAGAAAAAGAGTGCTCTTTTTTCTTTTTTCCTTTTTTTCTGTTTCACATGTTTCATAGAAGTCCCAGCTCCCCAATTGAGATTTCAGGCCATAATCTACAGAAACATATCAAACTTCGTATTTTTTATTTTTATTTTTATTTTTTTGCTCCAATGCGATTAACCCAGAATTGGCTATCTGTTTATTACAAATTGTAACCCCCATTGCAAACCTAATACATAGCTCCAGATTAATGGGGTGATCAGTGGATTGGAGAGCCACGAAGAGGAAGACAAAGCTTCTAATTAAATCGTAATGTTATAAGATCCATTCATAAAGCTCAAAGTATTGCACTCAAATTACAATTATAGGCTTAAGTGGAAAGCAAGACCTCTTGAACCAAACAGATTGACCAAGTACAAATAAAAAACAAATGCATTACAAAATCACCAATCCAACAGCATCAAACTAGTCTCACACACTTAGTAGAATTGTGCAGTTTTGTCTCCTATTTTTGTAACGAAATCATCTCTCAGCCATTATGTTCGATTGATTTCCAAATTTCTCCGCGATAATCATATTTTAGCCTTCTATATCTGTTGTGATAATAGATCAAATAACAGTAATATTCTCCAAACAAAACCGCATTGCGAATTCGAAAAAAAGAAAATACATGTAATAATAAATAAATAAAAATGCATACTGTCAGACCAACAACGCACAGAATAGCTCAAATTTCTCAGAAACCACTTGCAGTGACTACAATTCTACAAAGTAATAGAAAAATTTGAAGTAAATACACACACATACATAGTATTAGAGTCAGATATGATTGTGTATGTATATGTACCTTGCAGGTGGTGAATTCTTCAGAACGATACTTCTCACTCTCAGTGAAGATGCGAGAGTGAAGCATAGGAGTATAAGCAGCTTGAGCTCCATACTTGCGGCACAGCATTCGAAAAGGAAGCTCCGAGTTATCAACCATGGGGGCCACAATCATCTTAGGTTCGCCCAGCTTCTTCCAGTGAGCCCAGGCTCGCTCGATCCTTGACTCCCCGCTCAAGTACCGACTCGGAGTACCCAAACCACAATCGGCGAGGTCTTTTGCGGGAAGTGAAGAGAGAGAATGTGAGGAGGCGGTGGCCATGAATGATCTGATCGGTGAGAGATGAAAATTGCTGGTGAAGAGAGAGAAAGTGCCGGCGGCGGAGGAGGGTGTGAATCTCATGAGGCGGCGATGATGGGAACGGAAACGCAGCCCATCGCCGCCGCTAGGTTTGGGCGGCAACGAAGCAAAATAGGGTTGTGTTGTGTTCCAGTATCTTGTTATTGGGTTGAAAAGTCGGTTGGGTTGGGTCCGACCCTAAAAAATAGATGAGTGTGATCTAAATAAAAAAAAAAATTTTTTTTTTTTTAATGAAGTATCAATAAATTTTAAAATGTGATCTTTTAAATTTTTTTTTTATTTTTTTTTTATGAATTCAAAGGTCCTATTAAAATAAAAATTTAAATTTAAATAATAGTCACGTACATGTTTGGATTTAATTTTTGACATATAAAAATGTATTTCTCCAAATGTGAAATTATCTATTTGGCCAATCCATATAATAGAGGTTTTGGATTTTCTCTCATTTTAGAACAAATCTCATATTATGAATAAAAACGTAACACTCCAATATAATACACTAAAAAACTCCTTAGTATACTTTTTTTAAATATAACAAACAACGCAACACTCCAAACTTTTTCCAAATGTAACTCTCTAATGTAACATATAAAAAAAAGTCATTATTGTATTTTTTTTAAAACGTAACACTCTAATCAATATAATATCAAGCATAATACACCAATATAACACACAAAAATTACTTAGTATCCTTTTTCCAAACGTAGCACTCACATTTTTGAATTTATACATTTATCCAAAATTTATTAAGGAATTTTTATACTCATTTTGGAATGATTTGAAGAATCCTACACCGTTTTGGAATGGTTTGAAGAATCTCATATCATTTTTTTTTAGTATTACATTGGATTGTTACGTTCGAAAACAGTACAGTACAGCCGCGCAACTGCATGCCCAAAACGACGTTTTGGACTCCAAGGTTATTTCAAAATTTCAAACAATTTCAACGGCACCAAGGTTTGATACCTTGACCACGCCCACGTATGCAACGCTCTTACCGCCGCGCCACTTTGCGTCCTCAATATTATATACGACACATATATTATTTATACCTTGTAACATATATTATTTGTACCTTATAAATATACAGTACGCAACAGTTCCGTTTTGGAAATTTTATAGCAGTTCCGTTTTGGAATTTTGTTTTTTTTTTTAAAATCTTAAAAATCAAAACTACACTATTTAAGATCTTATCATTTATTTTATTCTAATTTATTTTTATAATCTCAAACAAACTCTTAACTATCAATTTCTCAAAATCCTAAAAAGTTTGTTCTCATCGGCTAACCATCTATCTATCTTCGTCGGAGGCTCTCTATCGCTTGCACCATACTATTCAGGTTTGTACGAAATACAACATATTTGCTCTTTGAATATTGGTAAGCCTCAACAAAAAACATATAATTTTCTTCTATACTGTGATTGTGATTGGTTGGTTTTTTTTCCCTGTAGAATGTTATGAGTTATTTTTTTTTCTTTATCTTTAAAACTATTGCTTTCGTTATTAATACTAGATGTTAGATGTATCTACCTTTATTGTTGCCCCTTTGTGCGTTGCTTTGTTTAGTCTCTACAGTTTATTTATTATTATTTTTTTTTTGACATCAATAAAGTGAACAATAAAATATATAAATAAATTAATACAAAATATTCTAAAATTAATGAATGACTAGATTTAAGATTTTTTATTGTTTAACTTTTATTTCATATTTTCAAAACTAAGGACAACAATGTTACATCTATTATATTGTTATACTGTATTTTATTTGTCAACAACATATTGTGGTAATGATGAATTTTGTGGAATAAAAAAAGGTGAATCTTAATTCTTTCAATTGGTCAATTGGTGATTGCTCTTTGTCAATTTTTTCCCTGCCATTAAATGTTAGGTTGTTTTGAGGCTAGAAACATTGTTTTTTTAATCAAAAGACATGATGTTCTAGAGAATATGTTATGCTACTTCAAAATTAGAGAAGATAATTCTAAAAAATTTAATAGTACAACTTGGTATCTTATTAGATAAGTAGAATAAAAAATTATAAAAATTATAAACAAAGACTAATATTTTATTTTTTATTTTTTAATTTTTTTTTACAGTGACATCTATATAAATTTTATGTCATGACAATCTCAAAAAATCTTACCATACTTTTATATTTGTTCTCAATTTTTTAGATTTGTTGGTGTTAGAATGGAGAATGGTGGACATGAGGGTTGTAGCAAAGATATGGGGGAGTTGAGCAAATATAAAACACCATGTCTTGGCATGGAATTTCATTCAGAGGAAGTTGCATATCAATTCTATAATGAATATGGAAGGATTATGAGGTTTGGCATTAGAAGAGATTACCTTAACAAAAGTAGAAAAGATGGTGTTATGATTAATAGAAAGTTTGTTTGTTGTAAGAAGGGAGAAAAAGAAAAAGAAAAAGATAAACAGTACATGATTGTAAATCATCCTAAACATGAGACAAGAACAAAGTGCAATGCATTTATGTATGTATCTTTAGATCGAGACTTGTCAAAGTGGATAGTGAAAAAGTTTGATGACAACCACAACCATCCTTTGCATTTTCCTCAATACACACATTTGATACCATCTCAAAGAAAGTTATGTCAGGCTCAGGCTTTGAATGTTCATATAGCTGATGACACTGGTATCTCTCTTAAAACATCACATGATCTCATTAGTGCCTTAGCAGGGGGAAAAAAATTTGGGATTCACGAGAGAAGACCAAAAAAGCTACTTGCGTGGAAAAAGACAATGAAATTTGCAATACGAAAAAGCTGGGAGTTTATTAAGATATTTTCAACAACAAGCAACTGAAAATCCATATTTTTACTATGCAATTCAATTGGATGTGGATGAGATGATTACTAATATTTTTTGGGCTGACCATGAGATGATTACAAATTATGAACTTTTTGGTGATGCGTATCATTCGACACAACATTTCGCACAAATAAGGAGTATCGACCACTAGCTTTATTTACTGGCTTTAACCACTTTAGAAAGACAGTGATTTTTGGTGCCTCATTATTATATGATGAAACTACAGCTTCATTTGAGTGGTTATTTGAAACCTTCTTGCATGCAATGTCAGGGAAAAAGCCTACCAGTTTTTTCACAGACCAAGATCAGGCAATTACTAAGGCAATATCTGAAGTCATGCCTAAGGTTTTCCATGGATTATGCACTTTTCACCTAATGCAAAATGCTTTGAAGCATTTAGGGTACTTGTATAAGAGTGGTTCAAAATTTGGTAGTGATTTCAAAGCTTGTATTTTTGGATGCGAGGATGAACACAAGTTAATTGAAGCTTGGGATTCTTTGATTGATAAATATGACTTGTATGAGAATGTGTGGATGAAGAAGACTTGGGAAAAAAGAGAGCAATGGACGCACGTATACATGAAATACTTGTTCACTACAGGAATGCGAAGCACCCAACTTAGTGAAAGCCTGAACGCAACATTAAAGAGGTATTTGCAAGCTGATCATAATATTGTTCAATTTTTTACCCACTTCAATCAGATTGTTGTAGATAAAGTGGTACGAAGAAGTAAAAGCTATATGTAATTCTAGACAACAATTGCCTAGAATGAAATTGAAAATGTCTCCAATTTTGAACCAAGTTACGAATTTGTACACTGTTCTTATCTTTGACTTATTTCATAATGAGTTGGATATGTCTCTTTCTTGTCAAGTAAAGCAATGCCATGAGTTAGAAGGTGAAGTTCGGTACATGATTAGGTTGTATGGTGATGATAGAGAGTATATAGTGGAGGGTAATATGGAAGTCAATGAGTTAGGAGGAGAAAAAAATTGTCAAAAAATTCGTTGCACTTGTCAAAAGTTTGAAAACATTAGAATTTTATGTGGTCATGCAATTAAAGCACTTGATAGAATGAATGTTATGGAAATTCCTGAGAGGTACATATTAGGTCGATGGAGATTAGATGCCAAAAGTGGTGAAATTAAGGGAGGAAAAGTTGAAGTGGATGAGAATGATCCCAAGTTAGAGATATCAGCACGTTACAGGGATCTTTGTCCTAGAATGGTAAAGCTAGCAACTCAAGCATTTGTTTATAAGCCTGCTTATCAATTGGTTGATGAAGGGATTAAGGAACTGTGTACAAAAGTGAATAAAATGATGGTATCATTTGATGATATGGGTGATTGTGGTAGTGGAAGCAACATTGATATGGCTTCTAATCCTAACTTTGCACGAGTTAAAGGCTTAAAAAAAAGGTGGACAGAAGGGTGGAGGTAGATTAAAACCTTGGCATGAGAAGACTAATAAGAGGAAAAAAATTATTTCACAACCTACCGACCTTAGTAAGGTATTGTTCACCTAATTTGATTCTAATTGTTGCTTTCTTTTAGACTCATGCAATGTATTGATAAATGTTATAATTTGTTTAGAAAATTGGCCAATCAAGCAACACGTTAATCGTTCAAAGTTTCTCTTTATGCCGCTCACAGGTTAGATTTTGTTAGGACCCTTTGTTGTCAAATTCCATGGATCAAAACCGAGGTTATAACAGGATCTAGTTTTCCAAATTTTCCAATTTTGGTCTCCCCGCTCGAGCGGGGAAAGTGACGCTCGAGCGGGGATTGCAAACTCACAGCATCTCTGCTTCACCTGAAAAAGTACTGGATAGTGTGATTCGACGCTCGAGCGTGGAAACTTCCGCTCGAGCATGAAGCCTATATGAATCACACAATTTTGAAGCCTCCGCTTGATCGGGAATTCCCACGCTCGAGCGGACCGCGCGAACACAGATTCTATAAATTTGCATGTTGGGTCTGTTTTAGGATTACTTTTCCCAGATCTTATTCAAGAGTCCTAGGGTTTTGTTTGAGGTGTTCTTCTGAGGTTTTTGTGAGTTTTCCTTGATAAAAGTGAATGAGTATTTAACTCATGAATTGAGAAACACATATCAAGGAGATTGTTCGTATACATACAAGAGTGTTACTCTTCGGTGGATTCCGAAGATTCAAACGTAGAGTTTCAAAAGGCGTTTGATTCTGTACGTAGTCGTTAATTCGACAAGTGAAGTTGTGGATTCAACTTCAGGATTGATCAGTTCTGAGATGAAGGTGTAGTGAAAGAGTTACAGAAGATTCAAAGACAAATTGACTGAGTTGGGTAATTTGTGTGTTATCTTTGTAATCTTTCTTTCTTCAGTAGTGGATTGATTAGTGGCGTTTCGCCCGTGGTTTTTTATTACAATTGAAGGTTCTTCAATTGTGGTTTTTTCCACGTAAAAATCGTTTGTGTCGATTTATTATTTATTCAGAAAAGCAACAATATAAATCACTTTCGTAAGAGCTTGATGATTTAGATTGTGTGTTTTAGATAATTGGGATTTGGAATATTTTAATCTTGATCTAATCACAAATCACTTAGGATTTTCAATTGGTATCAGAGCAGGTCACTCTATTTTTTAAAAAATATAGGAGTGTGATTTTGTGTGAGTAGTGATATGGATTCTATTCGTGAAGGTAACTCGACCCATAGACCTCATTTACTCGATGGTACAAACTATTCTTATTGGAAAGCTCGTATGAGAGCGTTTTTAAAATCCATCGATGAGAAAGTTTGGCACAACGTGATCTATGGGTGGAGTGAACCTACTGTCACCATTGATGGTGTTGATATTCCTAAACCCCTTGAAAAATGGGACACAACTGATTACCAAAACTCGAGTTGGAACAGTAAGGCTCTCAATTCCCTGTTTTGCTCCGTCACACCTAAAGAGTTTCGTCGTATCTGCACGTGTGAGGTAGCAAAAGAGGCTTGGGACATTTTGGAAACGATTCACGAAGGTACTACTTCTGTCAAAAGGTCAAAACTTCAATGTCTTAGCTCCGCTTTTGAAACCCTTTTTATGCGCGATGATGAGACGTTTGATGATTTCTATGCAAAACTCAGCGATATCGTGAATTCCTGTTTCACACTCGGTGAAAAAATCCTAGAAGCTAAAGTTGTTGGAAAAATTTTGAGGTCATTACCCGAGAGGTTCCAATCAAAAGTGACAGCCATTGAGGAGGCTCAGAATGTTGATACCCTCAAGCTTGATCAGTTGGTTGGAAACTTGCAGACTTATGAAGCCCACTAGATTTCAAAGAAAAAACAAAAAGATAGTGTGGCTTTCACTAGTGCTCATGAGACTGCAAAAACTCCGGAGACTGAATTTGATTTAGAGTCTGAGATGACGGCTATGTTTACTAAATAGTTTAAAAAAAATTTGAAGAAAAAGAAGCCTAATCTTAGAGACCCTATTTCAAAGACAAAAGTAATGAAAAACCCAAAACATTTCCAACAAAACTTACTCCAAAAACTGAAAAGAAGATTGTAAAGGGGCAAGGGGTCAAGTGCTATGAATGTCAAGGGTATGGTCATATTGCCCTTGAATGCCCTTCGAAAAAGAATCGAAAGAAAGTCTACACTGTGACCTAGGATGATGAAAGCGGGTCGGAGCAAGAACCCGAAGAACCTGAATCGGTGAAGACAGGGATAGTGCTTTCATGGCATTTTGGTCCACTTTCACTTAACCTCTTCCAAAGCCAGCAGAATTAGCTCGTGGTCAGAACCTGCATCATGTTCCCACCTTTGATGGGAGTAACTACCTGTATTGGAAGATCAAAATGAGGGCGTTTCTGAGAGCTTTTGACCCAGAAGGCTGGCAAGCCATTGAGGAAGATACAGAAAGTGCTGACAATTCGAGCAATCAGAGAGCCCTGATCACTATTCGTGGAGCAATTTCTGCTGAAGAACAGCAACGAGTTGTTCATTGCACTAAGGCTAAAGAGGCATGGGAAATTTTGAGCCAATTCCATGAAAGAGGAAATTCACCTTCACCACCATCCAGCAACTTTTCTGTCTTAGTTGCCTGACTGGATGAGGTCAAGAAGAATGAAGAGTAAAAAGATGATGATGAAACATCTACCTCTGAAGACAATGATGAAATCACTGGTGATGATCTACAACAAGCTTACGAAAAACTTTATGATGAATCTCTGAATCTATCTAAAATCATTGACAAACTCACTCTCAAGCTCAAAGCATGTGAAAATGAGAATGTCAAGCTGAAAGGAGAGCTTGTAGCAACAAAGCAGAATATCATCAAGATCTCAAGTGACAGGAAAGAGTTATATGGAAAACTTCTATCCTGTGAAACTAAAAGGAATGAACTTCTGAAGTTGTATTCCACATATGAAGAGAAGCTTGAAAGCCTTGAGATGTCACAAGCTACATTGGAAGAGATAGTCTGTCAGAAAGATGAAGAACTCCGGATTGCTAGAGCCACTATTGCCATGTGGAACAAAGGTTCCAAATCTTTAGAAACCATCCTTGGGTCTCAACAAATGGGTTATGACAAAAGTGGGCTAGGCTATGGTGCAACAATTCACACGGGACAGGCCTCTACGTCACATGATCTGAAGACTCAAGCAAAGGGAAAGCTGAAGGTAGACCAAGGAGGTAAAATCTGTTTTTATTTGTCATCACTATAGTAGGTATGGCCACATTCGTCCTTATTGCTTTGAATTGTTTGGTAAGGTGTCTCAAAAGGGTAGAAATTCGAATACTTTTTGGGTTAGGAGACAACCTTATATGTCTAGGCGGAATACCAAGTTTCATAAGGGTGTTCACAACGCCAATACATTTACCAAGACCACTAGACCTGATTTTGTTAAGACCAAAAAGATTTGGGTGAGAAAAGATGACTTGACTTGTTTAGTTGTTCACACTGCTCTAAAAGCACATGACTCACACATGTGGTATCTTGATAGTGGGTGCTTTCGTCGCATGTCTGGTAACAAATCTTACTTTACCTCCCTTGAAAAATATGAAGGAGGAATTGTTACCTTTGGAGATGGCGGCACTTCTAGGGTCATTGGTAAGGGCTCTATAAGTGTTGCTGGTCTTCCCAAGCTGGATAATGCTCTACTTGTTGATGGTCTTAAAGCAAATCTTTTGAGCATTAGTCAAATGTGTGATTCCTATCATGAAGTATTGTTTTCAAAAAATAAATGTGAAATTTTGGATAAAAAGGGAAATATTGTCTTACATGGGGTTCGCACATCTGATAACTGCTATGGGATTGTTACTACTAATGATCTCACTTGTCACTCTGCCATCATAAGTAACATTGATTTGTGGCATCAAAGATTAGGTCACATAAATTTCAAAGACCTAACTAAGATAGCCAACAAAGAGCTTGTGAGAGGAGTACCTAAACTGGGTAAGAATTTGAGCCATGTGTGTGGACCATGTCAACTTGAAAAGCAAACCCGTGCCCCTCATAAAAAGGTGAACAACTTTACTACCAAACGTCCTCTTGAATTGGTTCACATGGATTTAATGGGTCCTACTCGCACTGAAAACATTGGAGGTAAAAGATACATTTTTCTAACTGTTGATGATTTTACTCGGTTTTCGTGGGTAAACTTTTTAAGGGAAAATTCTGATACGTTTGATGCTTTCCAGGCTTTAGTCCTTAAAATCCAAAATGAACAGGGTGTTTCCATTGGGCGTATCATAAGAATCCGAACTGATCATGGTCGTGAATTTGAAAATAATTCGTTTTCGGATTTTTGTGATATGCATGGAATTAAGCATGAATTTTATGCACCCATTAGTCCACAACAAAATGGAGTGGTTGAGAGAAAGAACAGAGTTGTTCAAGAAATGGCTAGGGTCATGCTCCTTAGTAAGAGTCTTCCTCCAAAGTTTTGGGTCGAAGCCCTAAATACTGCTGTTTATGTCATAAATCGCGTGTATTTAAGGCCCGACACTTTACAAACTCTATATGAATTGTGGAAGGGTTTGAAACCTAATGTAAAATACTTCAAAACTTTTGGGAGTAAGTGTTACATCTTCAAAGATAGAGAGCCCTTGGGCAAATTTGACTCCCGAAGTGATGAAGGTATTTTTCTAGGGTATTCAACCAACAGTAGGGCTTTTCGAGTCTATAACCTGCAAACTTCATCATTAATGGAATCTATCAATGTGGTTATAGATGACACAGGTTCACCTACTCTAGCAACAAATGAGGATGACAATGGTGAGTCTCCAATCTTGGATACTGAACCACAAAATCAAGGAGAAGCTGCGGTCCAATCACAAGAAATTGTTACAGCACCATCCTTACAGGTAAGTTCAAGTCTAAAGAGTGCTCAAAGGGACATCACTCGTGTTGCTTCTGTCACCACAAGTCCTGAGCTTAAACCATCAGCAAGGGTGAAACTGAATCATCCAGCTCA